TCAACAGACTCAGGCTTGCAGGGGTCACGCTACCATGCTAAAAAAAGCTGCACAGACAGTGCTTTTAAGCTGTGGCTTGGGCTGGAGCTCGGACTCCGAAGCCCAGTCCACCCTGCCCCACCCCCGGGTGCCAGAGCTCAAGCTGCAACGTCTACACAGCTATTTTTAGGGCCATAGCGTGAGCCCTGTGAACCTGAGTGTGTTGACCTGGACTGGGAGGTTCACTGCTACAGGCTATGTCGGCATACCCTAGTGATCTGTTGCACTAATTCCAATGCCTAGTGGCCTTCTTAATGTTAAGGTCCTGCACTCTAGCGGACACTCAGGCTGAAATTATATTAATTTTTTTTTATGGATGTTAAAGACTTGCCTCTTTTGAGATGGTTGTTATGGATGTGTAACACATGATGTTAGCGTCCGGGTGACTGTAAGTCAAGCATGACATTTAATTTTTCTTTATGTAAAATGTACCATTTGTATAATATCCATTTGTGAGTTCATCTGAGGAAGAAAGACATTTAAAACAAAAAGTCACAAAGTGCTAGTGCGACCTGAAAATAGACCTCAACGGGAGCTGAGCACGCATGTCTAAGTGTGACAGGGCAGGATATGTCTGCATCAAATTATGAACTTCATTTTATACTACGTGCTAACACCAAATTGAAACTTGCCTGAGGGCAGCATATCATACAACATTCCAGACAGAGCCCTGCCAAGGAAAGGTGGTTGATGCCTCCTTGGAAGAGTATTACTGAGAAGCCATCAAGACTGTAATCTGGAGCCATCAACTCTGATTGTCTCTCATCTGCTGTTATGATCCCATGGAACAGTGATTTTTTCTACACAAGAGTCTGCAGGTGGGGCATGCATGAGATTGAATCCACATGGAGCACATGGCAATAAAACAAACTCCACTTAAGAGTCTCAGACACTGGGGGGGGGGGGGGTTGGAAGAGAAGGGTGGGTTGAGGGCATCTGGGTGCTAACACCACATCTCCCAAAGAATGGTTCCAGACAAGAGGTCCAAGCCTGGGACTGTGCCCTATAGAGCCCCAGATCTAAAAGCAATGACTAGACTCGGTTGGCTTGGAAGCATATGGGAACCAGCAATTGGTCCGCATGCAACAAAATGGTGACCATACCGAATAGCAGTAGGCCAGGTTGTAACTGAGAACAAACTGACCCTACCATCGGACTAGTTCTTCATACAGATGCAAAGTGATATATAAGAGGAGAACTGTCATAACGTTATTCTATCCAGTACCCTCTGAGGTCCTCAACATTTAATATCTTTTATCATTAGCTGGATATTTAAAAGGCAAGTGTTTTCTTTTCACTCATTAGAATAATTTTGGAGATGTTTTCCATAACCCAAGCAAAGGTGTGGCTTTAGCTGCGACTTTTTTTGTTTTGTTTTGTACTGGAATGCAGAGATGCATGGTCAGATTTGAAGGGTGGCATCTGGTTTGAATGATAGACATGCATGGAGACATTGCACTCACAAGATATTAGTTATTATGCTTTTTTTTTTTAAGAAAAAAAAAGACAGTAAAAATGTACAAAGCAGAATCTAAAATAACTTGGAAGTCAATGAGACTTGGGGTCCTAAGTTACTTATATGCTTTAGAAAATGTTAACAGATATGACTTCCCAAAGTCACACAACAGTTCGGCAATCAAGCGAGGTCTTGAACCCAAGTCTCCCAATTCCCAGTCCAGTGTCTTAAATCCACTGGACCTATCCCAGGTCACCATAAGAAAGTGAAGAAATGTTCTGCAGCTGAATTGCTCCAGATTTCAAATGATCCCACAGGAAACTGTGGTAGGATCTCCACCACAGATATTAATAGATGATATGGGCCCTTCTGATGCTGTTCTGGATGTCTGACATTGCAGCGCTCCACAGATGACATATGTGCATAGCTCAGGATTTTGACAATGTCAAAATCTGGTCACCCTTTTCATGATATAGCAAAATGGCCAATTTAATCTAAAAACTCTCCGAGAGCCTTTACATTTTGGGAATCAGGTTTTGGTTTACTACAGAGTACCCATTCAGCTTCAACAATCTTGCTAAAACACAGCCTCACATTCAGTGACAGTCGTAGAATCAGCAAAGGCAGTATTACTGCTGACCTCTTGTTCAAGTTCAAAATATGTCATTCTGTCAATACCATCTACCTTAATTATACTGAGCTTTATATACAACAGGTTATGATCCCAGAAGGATGAAAAGCTTTTCCAAATTAAAAGCAGCATTTTGAAAGGGAAATACTCAGACATTCCTATGTAGTTTTCATTTGATATCCTCAAGGCTAATCCCAGAACTCAAAGTCATGTTGACTGAAAGTGCATGTTTTGCTGGGTGTAGCCATCTTATGAATTTACTGGCAGAAGGGAAGTAATAAAAACGTGCTCCATACTTTAATTAGTTCCCTCATAACATGGTATTTCCAAAATGGCTGTGCCAAAGAAAATCATTACTCCAGGAGAATAGACAAAGGCACTGTGCAGTGTGTGACACAGACCTCCAAGAGACAGAGGGGTGAATACAAATACACACGCTTGTCCATGTTTTGTCTTGTTTGCAAAGCTGAACTAGAGCTTCACACGGGCTATTTGGATAAAGTTTGTGCTGTATTTTTAAACATGAAATCCTTTCATCACTACACTCCTTCAGTTCTGTTACAAAATAATACAGGTTGAAGATCCATGTTTTATATCGGAATGGCAATTGGCATGGAATAAATGTACATGGGAGGCCCATCATGGACATGTATGTATTCAGGTATTCCAGGTGCTAGCATAAAGATGAGAAGGTTTTCTGCACTCACATGATACTATCTTGTCATTATTTGCGCATTAATGAAATGTGATTAAACCACTGATGTGATGCTATCAAACATGGTCTACCGCAAATGGCAGACGGCTCTCCAAAGCCGGCTTTGAGAGTTCCGTCAGACTCCCCCACTCACCTCTGCTGCTCTGGGGCCCCCCACAAACACCACAATATCGGCATCAGTGGCCGATGCTACAGCAAGGAAATGAGGTCTGACCCCAGCCCAAAGACTCCTCCAGCTCCCACAACAAGAAGGCTGATGGCAGAAGGGGATAGGGGGCATAACGTCCCTCTTCCTGCCAGTCAGGCAGGGGCAGCTGTGGAAGGTTTCAACAATGAAGAAGAGTTCATGGAAGAGACAAGGGAGGCAGATTTGAGGGATTACAGATAAGAAGCTAGGGAAGCTCTAGGAGGGACAAAAACAATTAACTGGCAAGGCAGGAACCGAGAGAAAGATCAAAATACAGGGATACTATGCTAAACACTAGCTGGCTGTGGAGGAGGCAGCGCTAAAGAATTGCCCCTCAGAGAAAGACTGTTCCCATTCATTGTACATATAGCCCAAGGCCATGATCTCAAGCACTTTTTGTTCCCTAGAGCAATATTTTACTGATACACCTCCTTCGCAACTAGTCAATATTTGTAATCTATACACACACTGATTACTATAAATACCATGCATTTCATGAAATAGCCTATGCGCGCGCGCACACACACACACACACACACACACACACGGACCACATGGGGCAGCTCATGGGGAGGCACAAAGCTTGCCTTTTTCAGCCCCGAGTGCTGAATCTCATCTGGATGGGAACCAATCCAGGCCCCCAGTATCATTTGCAGCAGTCTGAAATTTGCAGTAAAATGAGCAGGCTGCAAATGGCATGAAGGGAGCCAGATGTCAGTAGGGTGTGGGATCATCCCAATGATGTGTGCTTTCACCCAGCCACACTCCCGACACCAGCTACAAGAAGAGACGAGGCATAGGAGCTGCTATGCTGGCCTGACACCACCAGGGGATTCCCTGCACTGGCATGGATTCTTCCTATGGCTGACTAACTTAGCTTTGCACCCAGAATTAACAAGAGATACAGTCAAAAGTGGTCATATCACCACTGGTGCCCACAGTCGTGCTCACACTATGCACAGTGCATACCACGGGCAGTGGCAAGGAGGAGCAGCCTTGGCTACCCCACTGCCCACTCAGGTTAGGCCTTGTGGCCCTCTGTCATGACAAGTGGTGACAGGGCCAAAACTGAGTGAGTGGCGTTGTGACCTGGTGTATGGGGGTTCCAGCATTGCTCAGGTTAGGCCCCATGACTCCTCTGTCATGATGGACGGGCCACAGGGCCAAAACTGAGTGAGTGGCACTGTGATCTGGTGTGTGGGGGTTACAATGCTGTTCACGTTAGGCCCCACAGCCCCTCCATTGTGATGGAGGTACCACAGGGTCAAAACTGAGTGAGTGCCATTGTAACCCGATGCATGAGGGCTGCAGCACCACTCAGGGAGGGGCTGTGGGGCCAACCCTAAGCGTCGCTGCGACCCCCATGCACCACGTGGCAACAACACTCACTCAGTGGAGGGGCTCCTCCTCACCATTGCTGTGAGGCTGGCTCTGGCACCGGCTTCCCCTCCCACCCAGAAACCTCCGCACATATCCCCCCCTCAAGGACAGGTAGTGATGGGGACACCTCAGGCTAGAAAGCAGGGCCTGAACATGGCACAGACTAGTGGGGCAAGCAGCTGCAGCAGGGATGGCTCCACCGGGATTGACAGTGAGAACCATGGGAAAAATTTCTGGGGGCATCCCTGCATATAGCAGCAGAGAATCAGGCCCACAGAATTATTTTATCATGAAGTGGTATCCTAGCAGTGAGGGTTGGCACTCCCCATCTGCAAGTGAAATTCATATTACTTTACGCAAAATATAAGCGGCACCCTGCAATTATTTTAATAGCACCCAAGACTGACCATCTAACCTAACTTGAAAATTTTGAAAGATTTATAACTGTGATGACAGTAAAATGAGATTAGAAAAAGCAAAGCTGATATTTCCTTGGTATGTTTCTTGACATGACCTACAACAACCATGCAACCTTGTAAAGTTATGACCTTTTCCCTCCGCTCTTCTTATTTAATAGAATAAAAATTGATACCTGGGTGCGGTTGAATGCCACTCTTGCAAAGACAGCTTGGGACACACTGGCTCTCTTCAGTTCATCCCTGACTTGCTGGTAAATATCTGGAGAGACTTCCACTGATGAATTCGTTGGCTCTGGTTTGACAGCTCTAGGGATGGGTGGATGATTCAAGAACTGTTGGTTGATAGCTTGTGGGTGTTGGTGAGCCAATAGCCGGCTTACAGCAATCTGTTGGTTTATCAGGTGGGCCATTGCTATCTGCTGCCTTACCAGTTGTGGACTGAGCTGAGGAGACAGGAGACCAGGGCTCATGATTGGCTGCAATGTTGGCACTTGATTTCGGATTGGAGTACTGTGGTGAATTTGGCCGTGAGGAGATTGTTCATTAGTTTTTCCCAAGGTTGCCAGTTGGTTGATATTTGGTAAGTGCATGGGACGCTGACCCAGAACACAATAGTCTGATAGGTTTTCTCTTTCCACTCTTTCCACTGTTAAAAGATAAAATGAGTTCACTATGATTTTGGTTTGCACTTACAGTAGGATTGTTAATATAACAGTTATTACAATTGACTGTATTTTTAGTACATATAATAAAAGTCAGTTAATGCTACAGCTAATGTATCAGACAATTAAATTATTAACTCCCACCTCTACAAGCTTTACTTGCAGAAACATTAGGATTCCAGGAAAGACATACAGGCAAATACACCACCAAAAAGAACAATCACAAAAATAATTTTTTCAATGTTTCAAAGTTTCAGCCATTGCTTACATTAGCCTCCCTATAAAACTGCCAGCAGCTACCCTTTTTTTTAAAAAAAAACAAAAATTAATTTGCAATTATTAAGAAATGAAGGACAGAGTGTCCCACCACAAGAACTCTAGCTACAAATGAAAGTCTTGTACCACACACAGATAAAATGACCAGTGATTATATGAATTCATGTAGACATACCAGGCCATAGTTTTACACTGGCTTAGAGGTAACTACGTTTTCAATAAACTTAGCTATAGCCAGTCTGGATGCATTTATATATATATGATGTGATTAAAAGTATTCCAGGACCTAGTATCACATACCTAGAAATTATTGACTCATCATAGGAATGTTTTCCGCAAATAATGAGCCAAGATTTATCTCATGGATGTCACAATAATATTATAACTTGTGTAATCAATAATGTTTGCACAATGCTTTGAAGATTTTTTTGTTTATCTTATATAAGGCTTTGAAGCTTTAGATAGTTAATATTCAGGTAGACAGTTTATTGGGGATCTTGCCTGTTCTTCTCTGAATCAAACATATAACGTTATTGATTCTTGGGGAATCAACAATCCTTTCACCCCTAGAGCTAATCCATCATGAACAGGGTTGTGATCACACCAGTGAGATAGTGTTGAAAAGTTCTGGGCATACACACAGGATTTCAAACTCTAGAGAACTCAATCCAGCACCTCTTAGGAGTACTAAATACTAGAGCTGCATGAACGACGTCATTTATTTTTGTGGGAAATGTCTTGCATTTTTATTTAATCTTTCTATGAAAAACCAAAACCTGAAAGATTTTCAGGTTAAAAAAATCAGTTTCTGAATAACAAACAAACAATTCTTTTATCAAAAACTAAATAACTTTACTGAAATGTTTTGGGTTTCCAGTGTTTCAAAAAATTCCATTTCGACCAAAGCGAGAATTGTGTGTGAAATTTTTCATTGTGGTTGAAAATCAACGTTTCAATGAAAAAATGTTGACCCGCTCCACTCAAAAAAAAATAATTTTTTTTTTAAATAAAACCACAACCTTTTTTACAGTAATTGCAGCATATTGCACAGACACTTCGTTATTTGATTCTTTTCAATGATCTAGTCTATGGACGAGGTGTTGCCTACCCTTATTCAAGAGACTAGTCCCAATTAATGAAATAGGGCTACAGCACAAGGACAATATATGTAAGAGTTTGCAGGACCAGGTCCTACTGTATCATTCTCGGATTCCATATTTGTCTTAATTCAAATTTGCACTATGGAATATGAGCAATGTTAATACAGATATGTACATATAATTTACAAAAGCTTTTTTAGATATTACTGAACCTGTGCAATAGCATGAATTAATCTTCCACAAATCCATTTTAAAAATTAATAAATAAACCTAGTATTTGCTAGAGACCAAACACCCCAAGTATTTTTGCTGAAGAAGAGAAGACAAAGGCCAAGCTCAGTCCTCATTTACACCACTATAAATTCAGAGCAATTCTATCGGAATTTACCTCAGTTTCAAGAGGGCTGAATTCAGCTCTAAGAACACCAAAAACTTAAAGGTAACCAAGAATTTGTGAAAATTTAGTAACAAATAAAATTCACTTTCCTGGGCTAAACCTTACTTGCCAAGTTTCCACCCAGACCTGGTTTAAGTGCCAAGCTATAAACCCCTTTAAAAGTAAAGTTTAACATGAAAATGCTGCCAGGCTGTTAACCTTTGCAGTGCTAGCTGGTATTACAAGAATACAAATATATCATCTGACTCATTTCCTTGGGTGTATTTTTCCCCTTATTATCAGTTTCCTTTTTCCATCATTTTATGCTGTATAGTAATACACATGTCCCCCATAAACAAACCAGATTCTAGTCACTTTAGCTGCCTTAATAATAAAAAAGTCACCATTAACAATCACATTGCATGGAAAAAATGTGGATTACCCAATTCCCTCTACAGTGTAGTCTCAGACTCACTTTGTAACAATACTACCCATACTGTCTGCCATGTTGCTCTCACAGAGACATAGACCCAGAAGGGACCACCAGATCATCTAGTTTGGCCTCCTACGTATCACAAGCCATCAACACCGCCCAGCACCTGTCCACTAAACCCAACTGAAATTAGAGCAAAGTATTACAATTCACACAGGGCCGGCTCCAGGCACCAGCTTACCAAGCTGGTGCTTGGGGCGGCCACTTCGAAGAGGGGCGGCACATCCAGCTGTTCGGCGGCAATTCGGCGGATGGTCCCTCACTCCTGCTCGGAGCGAAGGACCTCCCACCAAACTGCCACCGCAGATTGCGATCGCGGCTTTTTTTTTATTTATTTATTTATTTATATATTTTTTTTGTGTGGCTGCTTGGGGCAGCCCAAACCCTGGAGCCAGCCCTGAATGCACAGGAGGCTAGAGTACTATATGCCACAGGCAGAGAATAAGAGGCACCAAGGAGCACCAGTCCTGAGGCCCCTGCAATGGCAGGAAAATGACTAAGGCCTGGTCTACGCTAGAGTGGGAGATCGATCTAAGTTACGCAACTTCAGCTACGTGAATAACGTAGCTGAAGTCGACGTACTTAGATCTACTTACCGCGGTGTCTTCACTGTGGTAAGTCGATGGCTGACACTCCCCCGTCGACTCCATCTGCGCCTCTTGCCCTGGTGGAGTATCGGAGGCGACGGGAGTGCACTTGGCGGTCGATTTATCGTGTCTAAACTAGATGCGATAAATCAACCCCCGCTGGATGAATCGCTGACCGTCGATCCAGCCGGTAATGTAAACAAGCCCTTAGTGAGATATACACAGATAATCCTGGCAAGTGACCTGCACCCATATGCTGCAGATGCAGGTGAAAAAGGTCATTGCCAATCTGACTGGAGGGAAATTCCTTGTTGTCCCCACATAGGGTGATCCGTTAGACACTGAATAGGTGAGCAACAACCAGCCAGTTAAGCACCTGCTTGGTCCCACCACAGACACCTTCCTCCCTGCCCAATGTCACATCTCAAGCCGTGGCCAGTAGGGGCACTGCAGGGCCAACCCAGGCAGTGAAGTCAATGTGAGAATGCTGAAATGGTGGCATGGTATTACCCTCAGACAAAGAGCATCCCCATGGCAATTTATGAGAAAAAGAAGGCAATATACAGAGGGCACAACATATGAGTGATGAAGTTGGATACCCTTGCACTGCCATATCAAATATACAGCCTCATGTTTTTTATAGGTAAGTGGTATCCTCCATTTGCACTGTCTGATTTCCACACGTTCCCCACACAGTCTTACCCTACATGTGTTTGTCCTTTTCATATTGCCTTGTAACTGTGTCCTTTGTCCCCATATCATATTGGCTAACTATTTAAATAAGCAGGTATGAATATCAGCTATAAAGCTCGTTACCCTAAAGAGTCCTTGTAAATAAAAATGCAATACTTTTTGGCCTACACCCTTCCAATTTTATTACACCAGTTAGCCAGATTCAAGGTGTCTGCAACCAGGAGGCGCTAAGGTGCATTGCCAGAGCTTGAAAAGCAGCTCACATAGCACTCCAGGAAAGTCTTCGTTAGGGGTGGTCAGAAAACAATGATTCAGTTGCACGAAAAATGCGTTTGACTTTTGTTTTTGTTCTGCACTGGGATGAAAACAAGACTTTTTAAAAAAAAATTATTATTATTATTGCCACCGCAGTGGAGTCCTTGCTTCAAATCAAACCTGAACCTGGGTCATCCCAGATGAGTGCCCTAAGCACTGCATTACTAGCTATTCTGGGGTGTGGAGGCCTCTCTCTCAATCCTGGACCTGAGGAAAGTTTCATCAAAACAGGTAAGTTTCTGCAAAAAGTTTCAATTTCAACAAATCAGTATTTTCTGGTGAAAAAACAGTTGGTCAAAAAACTCCTGACCAACTGTAGTCTCTGTCCCTCATTTCTTATGACCTAAAAAGTCACCAAACACCAAAAACAATCACAGATCAACATGATCCCCTAACTGAGTGCAGCAAACTGTCCATTTTCTATGCTCCTTTTGTCTGTTATAATGTTTACCGTGTGTGTCAAAGTTTTACAGCTTCACTAAGAAGATGCCTGGATGCAGAGGAAGAGCAAACGAAAGCACATCTGTCCGTATCATCTACCTGAATCCATCTTGGACAGTCTAAGACAGGGGATCTCAAACTGAGGGTCGACCCCTCAGGGGGTCACAAGGTTTAGATTCATAGACTCTAGGACTGGAGGGGACCTCGAGAGATCATCGTGTCCAGTCCCCTGCCCTCATGGCAGGACCAAATACTGTCTAGACCATCCCTGATAGACATTTATCTAACCTACTCTTAAATATCTCCAGAGATGGAGATTCCACAACCTCCCTAGGCAGTTTATTCCAATGTTTAACCACCCTGACAGTTGGGAACTTTTTCCTAATGTCCAACCTAAACCTCCCTTGCTGCAGTTTAAGCCCATTGCTTCTTGTTCTATCCTTAGAGGCTAAGGTGAACAAGTTTTCTCCCACCTCCTTATGACACCCTTTTAGATACCTGAAAACTGCTATCATGTCCCCTCTCAGTCTTCTCTTTTCCAAACTAAACAAACCCAATTCTTTCAGCCTTCCTTCATAGGTCATGTTCTCTAGACCTTTAATCATTCTTGTTGCTCTTCTCTGGACCCTCTCCAATTTCTCCACATCTTTCTTAAAATGCAGTGCCCAGAACTGGACACAATACTCCAGCTGGGGCCTAACCA